GCATCAGCAATAGCACGATCATTTCTTCTAGCCATCTGCAACCACCAACAAGGTTAGAAGAAACAACTCATCCAATAGTGTTCTCACACTATTAACTGACAGGGGACTAACAACATAAAAACTTGGTCGGACAGACCGACCTGCTCTGATACCACTAGTGTAACACCCTTTTCTACCCCACAATTTTAATGGCAAAATATTCACATTTATTAGAGTAAAATATTAAAATAAAAGAAAATCACCTCAAAGGGCGTACATTTTCCAATAAATCAAATATAGGTCAAGGCTCCGTAAACAACGAGTTTTCCCAAAAGTTATCAAAAATTGCTCAAAAGGAAGCGGAACTCAAAAGGCATAATCCAAAGGTTTCCCTGTACGGAAACATAATAAAATAAGAAAATCAAATAAAACATGGTTTAACTCAAAGACCCCAACCCGATGTTACACTATCAGAGCAAGACCCTCTAAGTTAACCAAAGTGGTCAACAACTCAAAACTCCAAAAAGATCATCGACAACATCCACGGCTAAACCTGGTCATCTGCACGTTACCCACATGGAGGCAACATTCAAACAGGCAGGGTGAGTAAAACAATTAATAATAACCAATATAGGAAATCAATATATAAAACAACTTCATTTTCATAATATGCATCATCATATTCCTCAATGGGCATTAAAGGCCACAACAACATAAATTACTCAAGATTATCTCATAAATGCAAATGCAACAAGACTCATGCATGTGGGACCAATCGTCACAGCTCGATGGACACTGATCCATCAACCATCCATAGATCCCCATTAATAGGATTGATTCTATACAAGAACCGGAGCACTTCAAAATACCTCACATCCGCACAATGGGACTGAAGCCAAAGAAATCAAGGTCCTGAACCGAAGTTCGGATGCACATGAATGCATGATGCATACGTCAATAATTATCCTCATAATAACATCATAGGTGCATCATCATTCATCAAAATCATCATCATATATCATGTCATCATAGAATCATCCAAACTCATCATCATTACATCATAGGAATCATCATATAATCATGTACTAATCACATAGAAATCACATTCATACTCATATTAATTTGTTAAGGAAATCACAGCATAAAAACATCAAAGCATCATTGCACAAAATCAAAATTCATGAAAACTTTGCTACGTTCGCTAGCAAGTTCGATGTGCGAGTTTGGGGCGAGTTTATTCATTGTGTGAACACGCGATTACAACAAAACTCTGTTACGCACCAGAACCAAACCAATCCAAAAGTCCACACGATTCACTTCCCCAATAACCCAAAAACATCCCTAAATCATTCCTAAGGTATTACGGCGATAAAGGCATAAAGTCTACGACTTATTAGGCAAATTCCGTACCATATTCACGTTCTACTTCCCATAATTTCCTTACCACTACACCATGTTCATTAGAGTTTCTCACAATATAATTACCCTACAGGGTTGAAATCTCAACGACAGATTTTGGCCACGAGGGCCTACTTTCCCTCAAACCCAAATCGACCTCAAATCTATCAGGTCATCAGTTCAAAACTCTTAAAACTTTTACACCTTAAAAAGGAAACAACAATACAAATGCTCACAAAACCTTCTACCTTTAAACCCTTAAATCAGCTTTACACACATTGAAATCACATATTGAAAACAATGGAGGCAATACTCCCCATAACTTAATTGCCGACTCTAAGCCTTTTCCTTGATTTGTGGGAACCTCGCAAACCTTTTGTATCAATCCTCTTCCTCAGAGCTCTGGCCTCTATTTCTTCTCTTTTCACGGTCTAACAAGAATGAATCCTAATTCCCTCAAAAATCCCTTTTTGTTAAACCTAACTTTGGGCCTATAAATTAGGTTTTCCAATATTAACCTAAAAAATTCCCTCAAAAATCCATCATTCTCAATATTTCACACCAACCACCGAAAATTACCAAAAATACAAATATTTATATTTAAATAAATTAAATAAATATTTCAATAAATTTGGAGTGTTACATATGTTGCTGCGACACAACTTCTCCCCATAATACTTTGGATCGATGTTTTCCTTCAACATGTTTCTCACCATATTCATGATGGTTCTATTCATCCTTTTTGTAGTTCCATTCTTCTGTGGAGTGTAGGGTGGCACCACCTCATGCACAATCCATTCTTTCTCACATAATTCATCAAAACCGTTTGACACATACTCTCCACCACCATCAGTTCTCAAAATCTTTAGCTTTTGACCACTTTGTCTTTCGACCATACATTTGAATTTGGAAAATACCTTGATCACTTCACTTTTCTTCTTGATCAGGTAAGTCTACAGTTTTCGATTGAAATCATCTATGAACGTAACAAACTATCTGTTACCTCCAATTGAATCCACTTGGATAGGACCATATACATCAGAGTATATGACTTCGAGAATTGCCTTCGACTTGCTTCCTGCATCCTTGCTAAAGTTATTCTTGTGTTGTTTCGCCAGAACACATTCTTGACACACTTCACTTGGAATGTCGATTTTCTAGTAATCCTGAAACCATATTTCTTCTCTTCAAATCTCTAATATCTTTAAAGTTGAGATGGCCAAGTCGATAATGCCATAACCATTCATCTCTGCTGGCTGTAGTTGTAAGGAACTTATGCTTCATCGCATTAAGTTCAATCTTGAAGGTCATATTCTGAGAAATTGGAGCCTTCAAGATTAACATACCACTTATATCGAGAACTCTCATCATCTTGTCTTCGATCGACACCTTGTAGTTCTTCTCGACTAGCTGCCATATACTGAGAAAATTAATTTTCATGCCTGGTATGTACAACACATTGGATATTACTGACCTCTTGCCATCTTTCCTCGTAATCAGAGTATCACTAATACCTTCAACTTCTAGAGTATTGTCATTTACAAATTTCACCATGTTCTTCGTCTAGGGCTTTATGTTGACAAACAAATCTTTCTTACCAGTCATGTGTGATGAGCATCCTGAGTCTAAGTACCACTGATCCTGAAATCTTTCCTCATCTCTTGTTGTAACCATCAACAACATCTCTTCTTCTTCATGTTTCGCCAGCTTTACATCAGTTTCATGATCATTCTTCTTTTCTCGACACTCACTAAAATATTTACTATACTTTTGACAATTGAAACACTGAATGTAACTTTTGTCAGGCTTTCGACTACCACATCTTCCTCTACCTGCAGCACCACCCGCTTTGGTTGCCTTGGTTACAGGTTTTTCTCTGATTTGACTAATTTCCTTTCTGCTGATTTCGACCAGTCGATTTGTTATAGCCTCCTCTACCTTTGTTGTCATTCCAGCTTCCTTTACCTTTCTTTTCTTTTTCTGACTGCGCCTACAAATCCATATCACTCTTCGACTTTCCCGCAACTCTTTCAGCCATCCTTTGTTCATGAGAGCGTCCCTTAAAGCTCTTCCTTCGTCAATCCTGACAAGTCTTTCGACTCTTCTATGGCTACTACCACGTGATCGAACTTTGAGGCCAATGACCTCAAGATCTTTGCAACAAATGATCTTGATGTCAACACTTATCCACATATCTTGATTTGATTCACCAACTTAGTAACCCTAGTGAAGAAATCTATTATACTTTCATTTTCTTCCATCTGAAGTAATTCATAGGTTCTCTTGTGAGTTTGTAACCTCACATATTTCACCTTCTCTACTCCTCCAAACGACTTCTCCAGAATTTCCCATGCTTCCTTCGTTGACTGTACATCAATAACCTTTTCAAAGTTATCTGGATCAACACATTGATGGATTATAAAAATAGCTTTATAATCTTTCTCCTTCAATTCTTTATGTGTAGCCTTTTCTTGATCTGTCGCGTTTTCTGCAAGCAGTGCTACTCCTCTCTTCACCAGATCTCAAAGATCTTGATAACATAATATCACCTTAATCTGCTTGCACCAATTCTCATAATTATCTTTCTTGAGAATCGAAAGGTTTGTCAGAAAGTACCCATTTGGATGATTCATCGCCATCACGATTTTCTTCTTTGAATCGAAATCGAAGCTCTAGATACCAGATGTTGGAATTCAACCACAACCTATATGGAGAATTTCTATTCAATCTTGATTTCAAGATTGTTATCAATCACACAATGACAATGAAAAATGTTAAGAAAGAAAGGAAGGAAAAATAATGTTGGAGAAGAAGATGAATATTCTACAGAGTTTCTCTCTGCTTCCAAACTGAAATTTCTTATTCATTTTGCAACTGTAAAACTGTGAATACAATGTTATGAATTGAGTTGTTTACAAAATAAGAGTTTCTCCCTATTTATAGATTTAGATTAGCTTACACCCCAAGTCAAAAACCCAAAACTATAAAAGTCTAAAATAGCTAACATTACTAAAATAGGCCTAAGTCGAAATTCTATGTGGAGCAACCTGCTTCGACACTTCGACACACTACTACAACTCGACACACACACACACACTTGGCTAATTCGACTAGACTTTATTTCTGTCAAGCTACACTGTTTCAACACAAAAAATTACAATCTCAACACAAATTCCTATTAAAACCAAGCTGCATCGCTGCCCCCATTGTCAATATAAGAATTTTTTGTTGAGAGTAATTTGTAATTATTCACCTAAATTTCGCGATTATAAAAAAAAATAAAAAAATCTAGAACAACATTTTGGCTACCGTGTCATTAAAAAGAGAACCGAATTTGATATATACTTTGAAATATTTGAACGAATAAAAGTTGCACCGGTTGTAGTGGCTTTCGAATCTTTTGAAAAAATCAAAAGTTGTGGATGCTCCATCTTAATTGAAAAAAATATCTCCTCTTTGCAAAAGGCATTAGATTCACCCATATCATTATCGAATAACTATATCCTCTCCATAATTAACAACATGTTTAATAAAGCTATAAATAGAACCTAAAATTAACACCTATAACAAATAACACAACCTCACCAAACTTGAAACCTAGCACCCTTGGTTAGAGTTTCAAAATGGCTTACCAAAACAACAGTTATGGTTGGAGTAGCATGCACGATATATACGAACCCGCATACTATCCGCGACATCATCATCAAAAGCGTCCTGTTGCAATATACGATGAGCCCGCAGTCGAGACAAATCAATCTTACCATGTCCAGGCTCGCCGTGAGATTGAGACTGATCAACAAGATACGAGGTTTGGTGGTCGGATTTATAATACTTATGATAGTGTTGATCAACAAGATACGAGGTTTGACGGTCGGAATTATAATACTTATGAAAGTGTTGATCAAGAGGCTGATGCTTTTATTGAACATGAGCATAGGAGGATGGCAATGGCCAAACTCATGTCATCAATGAAAAGCATCTGATTCAGCTTTTTGTAGTTTATCTATGCAGGGCCTTTATGTGCGGCATCATACATCAGATGCAAGAGATCTATGTCCAACTCATATGAATATAGATCTCTTAAAACTGTTGTATGATGCCGTAGTCATAACATCTTAAGTGACCTCTGTCCCTTTAATATATGTACTCTTAAAATGGTCAAAAGATTTTGGGATGAAAAAGTATTCCCTGATTTCTCTGAGCTATATTTTAAGCTATGGTATCAAATCAATACAATAATCTGCAACCCAAGCACTTGGGCATGTACTCTTTCTTCCCTCAATTATGTATGTAGGGCCTTTTTTTCGGCTTATTTATGCTAAATTAGTCTTTTAAGTTCAACTTCTTTTGCACATTTACCATTTCTCATCCAATTCGATTAGAATTGCTTATATGGCGTTTGGATGCTGGTGTCAAGTCATGTTCAACAACTTATAATGTTTAATTAGTTTGTAATAAAATTCAAATGTAAAAAATTATTAGAAATAGATAACAGAATTAGAGTTAGTTAAGTATATTATAAATTTAAGTTTGTTTGTTACACTTTCTAACTAAGATAAGTTGGTTTGACTGTGTTACTTGTACCACAAGCTAACTTATTGTTATAATGTACATCTGTTATAAATCTTTTAATAATTCAATCTAATGATCATTTGATTCAATATAGTATCAAAGTTAGATTAAGCATGTCAAAAGCATACAATTCATTTTTAATCTTGCTTGCAAGATGAGTTTATTTGTCAAAAGCATACAATGCATAATCGCATTTAATTATGATGCAAAATATACTTTCATATTATTCCAAATATAGAATGCATAATCACATTTAATTATTCTAGTATGCAGAGTACGAGACATGGAGGCCAAAAACCATGTGAAGACAGTATGATCTTGTTGCTCCCATGTATCAAAGTCTTCACTGTTCTTGCTGTGTTCTTTATCAACATCGGTGAGGAATTTCTTTGGTTTTCCATCTTGTGTGGTTTCATCGACAATCTTGAATAGCCAACACTTTTGAGTGCTCTAGTGTCTTGTTGCTTCCATGTAAGAAGTTATCATCATCCAGTTTGATCTAAATTGGTTGGATATGAGTTGATATTGAGGTTTTGAGGCCATTGGAGAAGTATAAGGTTACAGGATCAATTTTAAGTTCCATTTAACTCCTCTTTAAATTCCAAAATTCTTGACCACTACACTATCAATCCTCTGGCCTAGCATTATCAATGATCATAACATGAGCATAAGAGACAAACAACATTTTCAAGTCAAAAACTTATCTAGCTTTTTATAAAAGCAAGCTAACTGTTGAACCTAAGTCTTTAAAGACAACCCCCAACTCCACCAATTGGAAGAAAGCTATGGAAAGCTAACTGTAGCACCCTAAAATTTGCCCTTTTTATTTTATTTTTTAAATTTTGGCTGGTTTTTGCTTCGCAGTCATCTGCATCTTCCACAGTCATAATTCATAATCACATAGCGCATTGGTCTTCTAAGAAATAGGATCAGAGGATTTTCTCGTTATTGGTACTTACCCTATTCAGAGGTGATTCAGTTGGTTCTTATTTCAGTCAGGTTAAATCAAGGATTTCTCAAGGGTGCCAAGTGCTTTGGATTAGAGTTTTGTTTGATTCATTGCATCTCAGATTGTTTTCTTCATCAAGATTCAAGCTTGAAGATAAATTCCACATCTGAGGTCTCTTTGTCCCATAAGAAAACATCCCAATCTGAGCTGGTTTCAGAAGCACCCAGCAGTGAAACATGTCCTACAATTAACTGTTCTTCAATATGCTCCACCACCATCAAACACTTCCACCAAATATACCTCCACATCATCAAAACCGGCGTTACTCATAACTCAATTGCTTCCACACGTGTCCTCACCTTCTGTGCCTCTCCATATGGTAATATTAACTATGCCTACAAACTGTTCACCAGAATGCCAAACCCAAATCTTTATTCTTGGAACACCATCATAAGAGCCTTTTCAAGAAGCTCAACTCCACAATTTGCTATATCACTTTTTCAGCCTCAACATTTGACTTACCCTTATGTTTTCAAAGCTTATGCTCAATTGGGTGATGCTCATCATGGATCTCAGCTTCATTGTATGGTTGTGAAATTGGGTCTTCAGAAAGACCAATTTATTCGTAATACTATCATTCACATGTATGCTAATAGTGGACTTTTGGGTGAAGCTAAAAGAGTTTTTGATAAAAGAATTGAACTTGGTGATGTTGTGGCTTTCAATTCAATGATTATGGGTTATGCTAAGTGTGGTGAGATTGATGAATCTAGGAAGCTTTTTAATAATATGCCTATAAGAAGAACTTCACTTACTTGGAATTCTATGATTAGTGGATATGTTATGCGTTGGAACTTTTCTATAACATGCAAGAGGAGGAGGGGATTGAACCAAGTGAGTTTACAATGGTTAGCTTGTTAAATGCTTGTGCTCACTTGGGAACACTTCGACATGGGAAATGGGTTCATGATTATATAAAAAGGATTAATTTTGAGTTGAATATTATTGTTGTCACAGCAATAATTGACATGTACTGCAAGTGTGGGTTAATTGATGATGCTAATTGAAAATTTTGGCCAGCCCATGATGGATGTTATCACAGAAGTTATAACATCTATTGTGACATTCACTACAGACATACTATTATGCAGTAATTATAAAGCAGTAAATAACATAGTTGGTTGTTGACCCAGTTCAGTGCAACACACTTACATCTGGGGGCTACCAAGCCAGGAAGAAATTTCACTATCAGTAGAATTAATTCAGAGTCAAACCTCCAGTTTGCACTCCTCACTTAAAACCTACCCAATGACAATTTAACCTAGAGACACTCTAGACCTGAGTATACCCACTCACTCTCTACAATCACCTCAGTGATATCCAAAAACACTTACATATTAAACAGTAGTATGAAGAGACACTTCAACTACACACACCTTGATCTTGCTTCAAAGCTTTGATCAAGTGACACTCACTCTTTCTTAACAGCTTCGAGTGGTACACAACCTAGAAACTACCTAACCAATGTAATCAACAGTTGGTTGGATTACAAGTGTTCCTAAGACACAATCGTGAAGAACAACCTCTTCACTTCTAAACCACTATGGTGATTTCTCTGTTCCTCTATCTTCAACAACTGCCTTCTAGGATTGCTTCTCCTGTTATTTATAGCAGCAGATCAGCCCTTGGGCCTGGGCGCATAAATTAGGTTTTATCCATAATAAAACCTCTCTTCAGTATTCTGCACGTTTGCCACTTTAATCAGGTACATGTTAGTTCCTCTAGGACTTCTAAAATGCCTCCTGCATTCCAGCTTGAGTTTTTGATTTGTTTCCTGAGTTCTAGCTACTAGAATAACAAACCTGTGCTTGATGTCATACGACCTATGTCATAACATTGAGTATGACATCCAGCTTAACTTATAGTTATCTTAGTTAACTTACCCTGCACAATCCCTATTATGAATGTATCAACATCAGACATGACATTCATACATACACTAATATTTTGCCACAAAATGCAGCCAATCAAGAGCACTTACAAACTCCCCCTTTGGCAAATTTTTGGCTAAAACACTCTGTACTTACACCAGAGATTTACACACAGCAGAAGACTTAACATAGGTCCTGTCATGCAGGAAAGTCACTAACTGCTCAAGCCCTCAGGATTCTCACAGTTGGGTTTCAGCCCTGTTAACACTCACTTTGTTAGCCACCTGTTAGTTATCACTACAGGTGTCATTCTTTGCTGAGTGAGTAACATACAGAGTTACTCCCCAGTTGAACATTTCTCCTGAAAATAGCCTGCAGTCACACATATGCATCCAGCCTGCTCTGGATGTTATGACCTTTAGGATAACAATCTGAAGTCACACAGTTGTGATACTCCCCCTGAAGGGATGCACTATGCTATTATTCTGCTCCTGCACATAATTTCTAGTTCTAGCATACATGACATACATATCATATCAGTAACAACCCAAATAGCTATTATCACGCACACACATCTCATTAGCAGCACCTGTAGTTACCACTGCAAATGTACCTTGCAAATGTACCATGGTGCATATGCTCAAGCACATCTCATGGTTGTCTTGTTCTTCCACCTGCTGTTACTACCACATAACCTGTGGTACTCATATTGGTTATCAACCAATTCTTCCATTTGCTGTACCTGCTCATGTTTTTATCTAACACTCTCTCCCCCTTTTTAGCCACAAATTAAGATCCAACTAACACATAGCATAAATCATAAAATGTACCAATACATATGTTTGGGGTTACATTACAAAACTGCTCATAGAGAGCATCACATAAGATTCATGCTTGAGCAAAGAAAAATTGAACAACAGCACACTTTATCACCAGCAGCAGTCTAAGGCACATACCCAATTCTCAATTTTCATCATTAGAGGAAGAACTGGAGTCACTGCTATCCAAGTCTGAGAGAGATGTCTTGGTTTCCATCATACGAGTCTTCTTCTGGAAGATCCTCATCTGGACCCCGGCGAGCCAGGGGCACGGTGAAGCCCTTAACAAGCAATCCTTTCGTGATGATATTGTTAGCAATTTCCCCCATGGATTTATTCACGTAAGTTGTGCCTTCCATGTTCATAATTCTCCTCAGTTCTTCTTCAGTGGGAGAGGGATACTTGCGGTTTGGTTTCTCAACCGAGGGAGGTGGATCTGTGGTGAATTTGGGAGGGGACTTAGACGAAGATCCTTCATGACGCGAGGCCATATTGTTGTCGAGACTGAGGGTCTGGAAGAGATGCTGAACAGTAGCGGGGGCAGAGAGACACGTTTGTGTGGGATGGAGAGTTTTGTTGTTCAAAGACTTTGACTGCATTGAAATGCTAAAACTCTCTCGTGCCATTAATTGCTATGCATCCTCATACATGCAGATACCCAACTTCCCTCTAAGATTTCAAATTGGGCAGAATCTAGAGCCTTTGTAAAGATG